GACTGGGTTAAATAGAATTGCATTACTAAAAAGAGACTAAAATACAATTTTCATTGACTAAAACTAGACTAAAATGTCATCAGTTTTCGTCGACTAAAACTAGACTAGACTAAAAAGAGTATGAATTGACTAAAACTAATAAAAACTAAAATGACAGCTTCACACAAAGACTAGACTAAAACTAAAATGAAAACAGGCCACCAAAAACAACTATACTAATATTTGGGTGGACATGCATTAAAACCTGTTTCAGAAGCTATGTTGTTGTTCATACCATATCCTGTCAGTAGGGGGCGGTGGGATGTTGATGACCAGAGGCCCTGACAGCTCTTGGACCTCCACCGTGAGCAGCAGGGGCATGTTGGACATCTCCTCAAACTTCTTCTTAATGAACTCGTTCTCCGTCGCCTTCTGGAAGTACTTGGATTTAGCGATTTTGTTCACAAATCTCAAAATCTTCCTTCCAGCCCTGCCACCCCCTGTCCTGTAAGACCAGATTATAGACAGGAGAGCATAGGAGAAAGGGGAAAGCATTAGTATGAGCGTTGTGAATATATTTATCATTTGGATGTGAAAGACAAAATGTGAGGAGAAATGACACCCAGGCAGCCATCTGGTGTGTGACACCAGTTTTTAGAAAAACGAGCATTAACAAGACAGAAGGGTAGAAGTAACACTTAGTGGAGTTACTTGCTAAATGCTACACTATTTTTTAAGTAGCTGTTCATGTAAGTGTGATTTGACTTTGCTATAAAGTAGCAGCTGATTGTATGTTTTCATTTGTTATATTCTTTAAACCTACTTTGACCATATTTTGGCTTTGAATAAAAAAAGTCATATCATATTCACTTCTTTCATTTATTAGCTTATTTCAGTACTAATAAAACACATATGCACACATAGGTGGTGTTTATTTTTGTTATCACTGCTTTAGATCAGAATTTACCCTTCAGTAGATAATGTGGATCCCTTCTCCCCCCCTTGTCCCTGAGGCTCGGAGAGAAGCAGCTCTTCCTCGTCAGATGAACCAGCGCTGGAGGACTCCTCATCACTGTCTGCCAGCACGCTGAGGACGGACCTGCAGTTGGGAGGACACACAGGGAGACAGGTCAGGGATGGACAGCTGGATGGATAAGTAAACATATGGATAGATGCATTAGTACCACTGTTTCAAAGGCATGTCCATCCTGGTGTAAATGCAAAGTGAAATGCAAATTTGAACCTTAATTGAAACCCCTGTGGACTTGCGGATGGATTCATGTACTGTATAAGAACAACTCTTGCAATTACTGTAAGTGAAGTGGCAGAATAACATTTTAACAAACACAACAAGGAGTTTTCTATCTCAGTGTAAAGTTTTTGATGCACTGCGAAGACGGCACGCTTTGCCCAGTTTTGTCCCTACCACCAGGGACAATGACAAGCAGGTCTACACTAATCAGTGTAATGTGAGGTTCTGCTCAGTAGAGCAGAAACTACTGTAGAGGGATCAGGGGATAGAAAAAGATGTGTATTTGCAAGTGTCTCTATTTGTGCGAGGTGACATTCCATGTCCCCAGGGCTAGTCTCCGTGTCCAGAGATCGGGTCGTCAGGGCCCCTGCCTTCGACTGCTGCCCAATCCACTTTGCACCATCTCCTTACGGATCCTCCTGCAGGTGGTGGGCCCACGGGAGGACGTCCCCACGTCGCTCATTCGGGCTAAGCCCGGCCGGGCCCCGTGGGGGGAGTCTCGGCCACCAGGCGCTCGCATTTGAGCCCCAACT